AAAAAAGCAAAAGCAAAAAGCTCTTAGATCTATGGTTTATTTAATGAGAAGAATGAAGCACTCAACAGGTAGTGGAACTGTCTCTGAGGGTCCCTGAGTCTCCATGACCTGTGGATGTTGTCCTTGTCATTGAGAGACAAGGACCCATAGCACACAGGTGGCATGTGTCACCAGGCTTTCTAGGGTACAGACTGCAAACCAGAAACACACAGCCACATAGGTGCCCCATCCACATTTTGGGGGTCCTAGGGATTAAAACCAGGGCAGCAAACATGCCAAGCACATATTCTACCACTCAACTATAACTCCAGTCCTGGGTTTTCCTTATCCTTAATAATATTTTACAGGATTTTGAATCAGTTGTCTACATTTCAAAAGATGATGTATTTTGAATAAAAAATGAAGAGCATGATTTTTCTAGAAAATTGAGTAATTACTTAACCAAGTGGACCCTGCTTTCATCCATAATAACCTTTTTTTTTTTTTTTTTTTTTTGCAGTCCCAGGGATCAAACTCAGGACCTTGCTCTTGTGAGGCAGGTGCTTATGCCACTAAGCTATCCCCCGGCCCATTCATGGTAACTTTAGCTAGAACCAAGAAAGGGCAGACATGTCAGGGTGAGTTCTCTGCCATCACCCAGGCCCACCTGTCTTTGCTGTATTAAACCTGCACATTGCTTTTGTGCTCTTGGCCAGAGGTAATAGGGAGCCATCAAAGACCCTGGAGGAGGGGAGAAACTTATTTAAAGTATAGCAGCTAGGGCTAGAGGCCCTGGCCCCAGGTTTGGCTCTGCTGCTGGCAAATTTTGAGTGAATATTCAATGACTTTAGCCCTTGCTGTGCTCATTTATAAAGCAAAAATACAAGCAATCTCTTTCCACAGGGTTGCTATAGGGATCCAGTGTCATGATATGAAACTGATTTTTAAAATGCAAGTAAAGGGGGCTGGTGAGGTAGCTCAGTGGTCTAAGGCATCTGCTTAGGCAAGCTTAGGCAGGGACAGGGGACTTTGGTACGATCCCTGGCACCACATACCATGCCAGCCCCACTTTCAGAGTGGGCTGAGCTGGCAAAATGAAAATCCCATGAAGTCAGAAACTCCCCAGCTGTCCTGTTCCATGCTGTGGTCGAGCATCTAGCAAATAGCAGATATTCAATTTGTATATATTATATGGATAAAGGAAAGAATGGATAGTAGGTATCCACACCTCTACTGCCAGGCACACAGCTGTTACATAATCCATGCAAATGGATGAATAATATGTATTATATGTCCAGTGCCGGGGAAACAGCAGGGACTCAACACATGCCTAAGGAGAAAAGGAATGAATAGATTTTATTAGCACCTCTGGTGCTAGGCACATAGTAAGTGTGCAATACATGCATCCTGAATAAATGGATGTACAGCTGAATGAGTGGTAATATTTATCAGTGTCTGGCTTATAGCAGGTGCTCAATACATGCTGACCCAGTGGATTCTTCAATGAGCAAACTCATGAATGCACAACGTCTGTGTATCTATTTCTGCAGCTGGCATAGCAGGGCTAATGCATATGGAAAGCTGGCTGGCTGGCTGGCTGGCTGGCAGGAACGATCAGTCTATAAAGGGCAGACCAGTGGCAAGCAGGATGACAGGTGTATTAAGGAAAAAGGCCCCCGAGGCATTTCTGCAGAGTCCCAGGAAAGCTCCGCGACAGTACTTACACATGGATGCTGAGTCCTCATTTTCTGGGCAGCTGAAAGCCTGGCATCATC